TGAACGGGGAGAGCGCATTGGGCCTCGGACACGTGGTTGGACGCGCCTGGAGAAACAACAAATTGTCCTCCCGTTGAATCCCGTTGGATCCCGTTGAATCCCCGCTGAATCTCATTGAATCCCGTTGAATCCCGTTGAATCCTCGTTGAATCCCCATTGAATCCCATTGTATCCCGTTGAATCCCATTGAATCTCGTTGGAAAAAAAAAAAAGGGCATCAGGGTTGATTTTTTTTATTTTTTTAATGGATGAAGAAAAAAAAAGGGCTATGGTGTTTGAAAAACCCTACACGCCCATATTTGTTTTTCTAATTTTGACAATAGAAAACTAAAAAAAAAAAAAAAAGAACATTATATTCTACAACCCTCCGTGTGTGTGTGTGTGTGTGTGTGTGTGTGTGTGTGTGTGTGTGTGCGTGTATGTGTGTGTGTTTGATTGGTGGGGGTGCTCGGGGCGACCCATCCCCCACCAATCAATCAATGAATCAATGAATCAATCAATCAATTAATCAATAAAAAAAAAAAAAAGTAAGAAAAAAACAACGAAGAAAGCCGCTTTCAAACCCGAAGCAAGTAAGTGTGTATGGTTGTGTGTGTGTGTGTGTGTGTGTGTGTGTGTGTGTGTGTATGTGTATGTGTGTGTGTGTTTTGTGTGTGATTGGGTGGGAGTGGGGGGGGGCGGCGACCCATCCCCTGACAATCAATCAATCAATCAAAAAAAAAAAAAAAACCTCGATGTGTTTTGAGGTTGGTTAAGTTTTTATTTTTTTTTTAATAATTTAAATACTAAAAAAATAAAATTAAAATATGGGGATGTAAAGCACAAAAAAAACTACACCCCATTTTTTTATTTTTTTATTTTTTTTATTTTTTTGCCTACGGGAAAAAAATCCGCGGGCCTTGTTGTACCGTGTTCTATCGCGGCGCAGTAACGGGGGTTCAATGGCCATTGAACTTTTCAACGGGAAACCCAGTTGAATCGAAAATCAGACACAAAGTCTAAAGAGAATGGGAAAGTTGGTTGATGATCATGTTGCAAGAGCGGCGCAATCATCAACATGAACATTCCGCAACTGGTCCCGTCCACTTGTCTTGGAACCCCTTCCATCATAACATTTGCCTCCATAGACTCTCAACTCCTATATGAGTTGCTATGTAATGTTTCCTGTTTCAAATACTGTATAATCGAATTGAATAGACTAATTGTGAAATCCCTATTTGTGACAACGTGATGGAAAAAATCAAAAATTTCGAAGATATTTTCCTTTCAGCCAACGGAAAGCAGGATCCAGTGATTATTATCTTCGCAGACAGACACAAAGATGATATTATAATCAAGTATATCTGTTCTTGGCAATGATCTTCGCACCCCACTGTATCCTTGACGTTGCAACTTGTTGAAGAAAAATGAATTGAAGTTGAAGACACGAAGGTCTCATGACAAGTTACGTGTCGCACGTGTGGTCGACCCCAAAAGCGCCATGTAAAAACTTACAACCTCATCATTAACCTTGCAGTCGATATGTAAGAGGGTGAAACAATATTTTCTTGTAATAGACAAATGATTCTCGGGGGGGTCGAGAAAACTGTGAGAGACGACAATGAGCCTCGTATAATGTTTTCATGAACCCACAAGCAATGACGTACAAGTGGTGTAGCAAAGTTTTCCCGCACATTCTAGTCGTTGTCATGTGCACTGCACGACAACGAGCAACATACAACAGAAAATTTCGACGAGAAATGGAAGTTGAAAAAACATTCCATAAAAATAAAATCCTTCATAGTTATAAATTATCATTGTCCAGTTTTAAAATTTTCAATTTTATTTGATAAGTTCCTGTCTAAATATGAGTTTTCCCTTCCAACTACATCTATTTGTTCAATATGGAATGAAAGTCTGGACGAGTTTATGAAATGTTTTACTTAAACTTTCATGCTGCTACAACAAATATCTTCTAATATAAATTGGATTAACCTATTTCATGAGTTCATCCAAACTTTCATTCCATCTCTAGCATCCAGTTTAAATAAAAAGGGATACCCCATTATTGGAAGGAAAGTTTTCAAGTAAGACGGAAAATTTTAAAATTGGAATGACGTTTTTTGAGATGGAATGAAAATTTAAAATTTAGAATGTAATTTCCCTAAAGAATGATTGTTTAATTCTGTGAATTTTTTCGGTTGTACAAGTCAATAAGAATCGAGGTCTTATGGAATCTCATGCGTAGCACGGCGCACTGCCAAATAATCTCGATACATGGTGTGACCCTGCGTAGCACACCGAACGTGTTCGAAGGTTTGCCGAACGTCCGAACACGTTCGGTCGTTCGGCCGAACGGATGCCGAACGCGTTCGCACTTACGAATTCCTGAGCCCGGTGAACGAGTTCGTTCCACGGGCGGTACCGGGCCTGTAGGGTTTGGGGGTCGTAGGGGGGGGGTGTTCGGGGGGCGGTACCGGGCCTGTTGGGTCCCACGGCCGTAGGGGGGGGTGTTCGGGGGGCGGGGTCGGGCGGTCGGCCTGGCGGGAAAGGGCAGTCGGGTCCCACCGTTCGAATTCGAACGCGAAGTCGGGCTGCCCTACCGCTCGTCCCCGCGCACCATACGCCAACGACCATCGCGCCTTCGGGTAGGTCCACCACCTCCTCCTCCTCCTCCTCCTCCTACTCCTCCTCCCCCTCCTCCTCCTCCTCCTTCTGCTCCTCCTCCTCCTCCTCCTCCTCTTCTTCTTCTTCTTCTTCTTCAAGTTCTTTTTCTTCTTCTCCGTTCTCTCCTCCTCCTCCTCCTCCTCCTTCTCCTCTTCTTCTTCTTCTTCTTCTTCTTCTTCGTCATCGTCGTCGTCGTC